GCGGAGGTGGCTGCAGGAAGGTGCCGAGGGGCCAGACACCGGCCTGGTGAGTAGAGGCAGTGCCCCCCAGCCCAGCAGGCCCTGCTCCAGGGCTGGCCCTAGGGGGCGGCACCGAGGGTCCCAAAGTGGAGGCTGGGTGCAGGGATGCAATTTTGGCCTCTGAAAATGTGAAATCCCCCCCCATGTTCGCACCGGAAGGACAAGCGTTTCCTAAGACACCCCTGCTCACCACCACGAAACCCACCCCAACACGGGGGTGGGAAGAGGAAGGAAAAAACCTCACGCACAGGCAGAGGAGATTTCAGTACAATCTATATTATCTCATATATATATATTTCTTCCTCACTTTATTTGCTCACTTCTGTCACGCATTTAAAATGTCACAGAGACCAAAATAGAGCGACTTTCTGGTGGAACTCACAGCAGTCATACACGAGATATAAAACTAAGGGACTCTGTCTTCTCATACATCATACAATTAATTTTTCAAGTATTTTTTATATACAAAGAGCTACTCTATTGGGAAAAAAATTTAAAAAAGACAAGGTTGGTTACGAATCCTAGGAAGTAGGTGGCGTGGTCAGGCCGCTCCCAGCCCGCATCTCTGGGCCTGGCTCCCCGCCGGGAGCTGCAGGGCAGAGTCGGGCAGGGAGCAGCCCCACACTTTGGCCTGGAAGGAGGACCAGAGAAACAGAAGGGAAGGGAAATGGTGGGAGCGGGGCTGAGGGCGTTCTCAGGCAGCCTGCACGGCCTGCTGCCTTCCCAGGCAGCTCGGGGCTGGCTGGCCAAGCCCCCCAGACAGGGACCCGAAAGCTGGCCTCTAGTACCCCTCAAGCAGGCCTGGCCCCCCGCTCCCACCGGGAGGGCTGGGTTGGTCACAACGCCAAGTGCCTAGAAAGACACCTGGGATGGAACCCCCACCCGACCCTGGGCACCGCTCACACAGGAGCGGCCAAGAGGAAAGATTCCGTAGTGGAGTCTGAAGCCACGGGCGGGCCCTCCTCCCTGCCCTTCCCCGGCTGCTGCAGCCCAAACACGCGCTATCTTGGGACGGACGCTCTGCCTGTCCAACCAGCCGTGTCCATCAGGTCTCCTCCTGACGGCGGCTGATGTGACCCAGGCTGCATGGGGGCTCTGGCCCCAGGTGTGGGGGTGTGGGGGTGGGCAGGGGGAGGGCCTGGTGGTCCTGGCCACCCAAGGCCTAAGGGCGCCTGGCCCAGCACTGCAGGGGCCTGAGTGCCAGCAGCTTAGCAGGGAGCCCCCGGGGAGTGTCTGGGACAGACTGAGGCCCGGGGAGGGGAGCGTTCATGTGTGACTAAGGCACAGAAGAGATGGGCTGGGGCCAGATGAGCAGGACACCAGGCCGTGTGGGCAGGGGGCCAGGGCCTCCTGCAGGCCCAGCCTTTGTC